AAAAAAAAAAAAAAAAAAAAATTGCCTCTTTTGACATTTGTTATACAATTAACTTTTCAATTAGGAAATGGACCAGGAAGAAGAAAAAGGAGAGAAAACAATGTTTGACAAGGTCAGCAGAACATACAAGTGAATTTTTCTTGACGTTAATTTTAAATTAGCAACTTCAACAAGTTAATAAGATCATGGCTTAAACACCAGAAAAATTAGTACAAAAAAATAATAATTAAATAAATATCATAAGCGCACAATCCTGTCACAACACAAATTATTTGCTGATCCGCATTTCCCCCACATCCGTAAAACCGCATACATGTATGCAGACGAATACGCAAACAACGGACCAATGAATTTCACGAAGACATAGACATTCAGGATCAGCAAGTAATTTACACCATGAAATTTCTGTGCACTTATGATAACTAGCACTGAGTTAAAGAAAAAACTGCTCTTACCAGCACCACTAGTGGCTCCTAGCCTAGAATCAGCAAAAAAAAAGAATTTTTCATTTACTCATGTCCTGGAGTCTATTTACGGATGCCGTTGGCGATACACGTTAGAAGCGTTATTTGATCACTACTGAGTTCAGAAACGTGGGCATTCTTAATGCATGCGTATTTCTGGCGAACTCCAACCAACTTGGTACTTTTCTGCATCTCCAGCAAACCAGCTGCTGCTCTGCGCGCATTTTTAAGAACCTCTTCTTTAGACACCCTAAGGTTAAATTGTTCAGCAGTAAATTTACAAGTACATCTTGCTTAACAAAAGTGTCCTATCACCAGCACAGAATAACAATTAGTTCATAATCAAGTCGTCCTATCCAGTAATGATGTCAATAAAAATTTCAATAACTAACCTTGCCCTGTTGTAAAGAACTGCTGGAAAAGAACAATTTTCCAGTGCAGCAGCCAACCAGACTGACACTGCAGCAATCATCGATGGATTTAAGTGACATGTTCTATAATCCACAACCATATTTTCACTGACATATTTCGCCATGATGTGAACTCTGGGATTGAAATACGTAGAAATACGACGGACAAATTGTATAATTGTAGGACGGCCGAGATCAACGTCCAAAGCCGATAAAATCTGACAAGAAAAATATTATGAAACAAAATTAACAGTCACGTTTGCTTTCACAAAAAATAGTGCGACTCACTTTGTATTCCATTCTTATAACGTCTAGTCTACTAACTGAATTTTCCGTAATGAATACGTAGTCAAGTATTTCTGGAGGAAAAATTTCTTCGTATTTGGCAGCTGCTGAAAGCGAAGCCACTCCAATTAGCTGTAACAAGTTCTGAAAGCAAAACTCTTAATAAGAAAAATATTTAATTCATATGAAAAGTCTCAGTACGATCTACAAAACATTTTTTGTAAAAGCATTCTTTCCTAAACTTGTCAATAATACAGTATATTAACAGAAATCATCTCCTAACAACTTTAAACTATTTTCGTAAAAAAGTGTTAGAAACAGAAAACGCTTTCACAAAAAGATTACATTACATGTTTAAGACACAAAATAATGGTGCAGCAGTAACTCGCATACAAACCTTTGTGGCCAATCCTTTCGCCAAATAGCGGTCTAGAATATTAATAGCAAGAAATAAAGTTTCAGGCAGTAAATGAAATCGCAAATGAACTTGGATCAACCAGTCAACAAGAATGGAACGCATTTTTGGAGTTATCTACAAGTCAGAAGCGTGTTATCCTTTATTCCATTCAAATTAGACGAATGCACATGTTTTTGTAAAGTATTATTACTCTCTCTCTCCAATTCCCCAAACCAAAAACTATATTACTTCTAAACCAAACAAGAACTCTGGTTTCACTCCGAAACGCTTTTCGAGTTGAAAGACATAGTCCTCAACATCATCCTTGTACTCTTCGCAGTGAAGAACAACGGCGTCAAACCTCGATTGCGTAAGAGATACTCTTTTTTTGCCAACTTCTTCTTTAGCGTTTTCTTTTTCAGTTTTTTTTGCTGCAGGAGGATGGACAACTTTTTTTAAGTCACCCTTCTTTGTAAGCTCCTTAAAGAAATTCAGTCAAAATTTGCCATAAAATGCTGCGGATATTATAGGAGTGAAAAAACCAAAAAACTTTTGGAACTTCAATTAGCGCTGGAAAGCCCCGTTTTTCAACTCGTACCTGTTGGTTAGCTCTTGCTGGCAAAATATTACGATGATCAAGCAAAGCGGTTCGACGAGTAACAACTCCTGTCTGTTCTTCAAGCGCTGCCTTCACGCTTGCTCGAGTGAAATGCTGAAGTAACTCTGCACGTCAAATAAGTAAAACAGAATAAAGTAAGAAACTAAATTCCTTGTAATTCTTATAAAGCTCATAGTTCAATTTGCGCTGAGTTTGCGCGCTGACTTGGCTACAACCGCAACTCACTCTGTTCATTTTAAATTAGATTTAACAAATCAAACTGTGTCGACTAATAAACTGACTTTTTCTGGTGCTACATTGCTGATGTTGGTCGAGTTTCGTAAAGCTCGATTCATTGCAAAATTAGTGGCACCAAACCTATATGCCCGGGGCCACCGACGTATGAACAATTCAGCGGATCAACGGAGCCTAAAAGTCAACTGTTCGAAAAAGAATACAGGGAATGAAATAGAAATAATAAGTTTTTCCGAATGGTCGAATTACTTACGTGAGTCACATTACGGAAACCGGGCTGAAGGTTAATCACTGTTTAATTCAACGGAAAATCTTATATCCCGGTAAAAATAAACTAACCAAATTTTTGATGGCAAGGAAAACAATGAAATTCTAATTAAAAAGACATTGTAGAGGAACCTATTTAAAGCGTGGAGAATTTAGATTTTAATAAAAGTACAGATTATGCAGATTAAAAACAGATAAAATTGGTGAAAAAAAAAAATTGTGAACATTTCCTATGAGAAGTTAAAAAATACAATAATATTTATAACAACGAAGAAATAACTTTACTTTATTACGAAACTTATTCTAAACTTTAAACTCCCATCACAAAATGTACTTCTAAACCATCCTCTTCTGTTTCAGACAGCCGTGAAGTACTCACTGCCGAATACCGATATAAAAAGTTTATAAAACCCGACCATACCTTAACCATTTGAAAACTCAATTAAATGCTCAAATAGTGGACGCATAATGCAATGAAGACCCAATCTAAAAATTTTTTTCCTTCACTCATCTTGAATCATGTTTTCTAAATGATATTGCTTCACCTAAACGTACTTTACAGAGAATCGAATAATGCGGTAATTACAAAACAGAAAAATTAAGCTTTCCAAGAGCAACCCTAAGTTTTTATAGAACATTTGAATTTTGCAACGTGTTAAAACCCAGATACCGTTGTCTGTTAAACGCATAGCAAGCACGATAGAAAATGATAAGACACACTTACACGCAGACAAATAGGACCTTACAAAACGACGACACCGTTCAAATCCTCAATCCAAACAACAAATTTATAGGGCTTTAAACTGGTGAGGCGTATTCAGTCGTTGTAATTTTGTAAGCACTTCTCAAGATTTCAGAAGTTGCAGTAATCTGATTTATGTCTGTACAATCAATGTTTATGAACAAAAGAATTTCCCGTTTTTCAATTGTTAAACCGCATATGCAAATTTCAAGCATTTTGTAGCTTCAGCTAGTACTGCTTCAAGAGAGAGTGGAAAGGTGGTAGAATTATTTTCAAATATCCCGTCCAACCAGTTGACTTTTTTCCCCCAAACTGATATCACTGAAGTTCATAATCCCAAATTCCATACAACTAATATCTGGCCTAACCACGCCAATGACTACTGCTTGTAAGACAAATTACAACATTAAGAGATCTTGAAGCATATGGGAAAGACAACAGATTTACAACTTACGAGAAAGAGCAGCTGAGAAGCTGAGATAACTTTAAAGTTAATGAAATACTGGTAATACAAACTTATATTGAAAAGTCTCAAAACTTGTAAACAGTTTTAGCAATTAAGCAACTGCAGACATAAAAGTAATGCAAATTATTGACCTTCAGATTTGGAAAGGGATATCCAAAAATTATAAAAATTTTCATTTTTATTCAGAGATAACCTACCGGGAAAATATCAAACTCCTTTTTCCTTACTTCTCTCTGATTATCCTTGAAAAAATGAAGGAATATAGCAGCTCCAGTGCCTTTAGCTTAGAAGTTGTTCGCAAAATTAGTTTTGTGGACAAACAAACAACAAATCCAGCTAATGCGCTTTTCTGCATTATTTTTACGTCATAAGAATCCTGTGCGATCCAGAACAGAGCATGACTAAGTTCAAATAAGTAAAAATTGTTTTTTGAAGAGCTATAAAATCAATACAATTTAAAATTGGATGATACTGTATCTAAAGAAAAACTGAAACCAAAGAGTAAAAAACTAGCAGAATTAAAAAACCATAACGTCAAACCAAATGTTATAATAGTGACAGCTTGATTTACAGCTATTCTGCAGAATTTGGACAACTTAGGCATAAAATGCACAAAACCGTTGAGCTGTGAGAAAACCACTTCAGTAAAAAATGTTACGACAAAAATTACAATAATGTACCAAATTTAAAAAGTGCTGCAGGCAACAGAGATAAGCAGTCTCCCCTTGA